TAAACCTACAAAACTATGTTCAAGTTATTACTTACCCTTGCTGATGACTGCTGTTGGCGTATGGAAGATGGTGAGGAGGAGGGAGAAGAGGTGTTACTGTTTGGAAGGGGGAGCCCCTTCCATTATAGCATCAGGCAGTGAGGACTTCACTGGTATGCACACTCTGGCACATTTTGCCTGCATACCACTAGACTTACTTGTCTTACTAAGAATCTGTCTAAAGACACTTGTTTTTCCCTACATTTTAACACTTGTCTGTAGTAAGACATCACATTGTCATTTAAAAGGTTAATGCAACGGCCTGCTACAGCTGTATCTGGGTGAGTTTTTTCAACAAAACTTTGCAATTCTTCCCATACTTCACACGTTTTCTTAACACTTTAGCGTTATCAGGCGCTCGAGAGCGTTACCACTTTTTGTGTTGAGGTCGCACAGCGGACTTGCTGACGATTCACGAGAAAAAATATTTTTATAAACTCTATTTGTTATGCGATCGACTTTGGGATAGTTTGAAAATGTTTGCCATAAAATTTCAGTTTTCTCTAATAGCCGCATAGCCTATTTGGGAAAACGGCATAGCATTGCACCATCGAGGTAAGACCATTGTATTGTTGACACAACAAGTGTAATCGACGTAGTTTTATATTTGGTGCCGGTCTAACGCATCCTTGTGTGACATTTTATACGTATGTTCTTCTAGAACATTCTATTGCGAACACATTGGTACAAAAATAAAATATGTACATCGAAAATCAATGTCAGGACAATGAAGAAGAGTATACAGTTTTCAGTGTTGCTGCTCGAACGCCCGAAACACCGCACTATTTTTTTAGGTTGAACCTTACCACTGGCTTTCTTGGGACCCATGGCGAGATTTATAATAACTTTTATGCTCAAATGACCAAAAACCCGACAAAAAAAACATAAATCCTTGTAGAGAATTAAGGCGGGATAGTCAATGGGCTTGGGTAAACTGAGGCGCTATCACCATGCCACCACGCTCTAGTTGGCCTGTACGCGTATCAGCACCATCGTATTCTGAGGCAACCTCACCTTCCGAGGCAAATTTTCCGAGCAAATCCTGCTCGTATTCCGAAAAATTCGTATACAGGGACACTCGTTTTCTGAGGTACCGCTGTACTTCACTTTCTGTTAGGGTGGTGGTGTCCTTTCTCTCTTGGTTATTCCAGGACCGTCACTTTATGCCTAACACTGTCGCCTCATATCGTGCGGCACTGGAGGAGCAGCTTCAGCTTGCTTTCGGTATTGATGTTACTTCTGCACCATTTTGCAAGCTGTCTCGGGCGTTGTTTCTCCTCCGGCCTGCTCATGCGCCGCCTGAGCCGTCCTGGTCATTGGACAGTGCTCTCTCTTATCTATCTACTCCTCGGTTTGTTGTGGACCCTTCGGTTCAGGATTGTTTCTCCAAGGCTCTTTTTTTCTGTTGGAATTGGCCTCTGGGGGTCGGGTTGGTGAGCTTCATGCTCTCCTCCGGCCCAGGGGTTTCTGCTCTTTTGGTCTTCGTGATGGTTTTGTTCGTTTGCAGCCGTCTCTTTCTTTTCTGGCGAAGAATGAGGCTGCTGCTTTCCAGAGGGGTCCCTGGGTTGTGGATGCTTGGTTGGTTAGGCCGGGGGTGCATCATGTTTTGTGTCCGGTTGTGGCTCTTCGCCGTTATTTGCGCGCCACGGCTTCTGTATCCAGGGACGCGCTTTGGGTTGATCCGGTTTCCCTTCTTCCCTGTTTGCAGGTGCGGGTCTCCCAGGTCATCCGCAAAATTTTTAAGGCTAGCCAGCCTGTGGTCTATCCCCGTGCCCATGACGTTTGTAAGTGCGCTGCTCTTGCTGCTGTCTTTGGCAACATGTCGTGGGCTGACATTTGGGCATGGGGTTTTTGGCGGTCGAACAGGGTCCTGGCTGCTCATTGCCTAGTGAACGTCCCTGGTCAGGCCTGTGTCGCTTTGGGTCGGCGGTTGCAACCAGTTGTCTCTACTTCGAGTTGAGGAGTGAGCAGCGACCGCCTCCTGGGTATGTCCCTATGTTTTTTCCTCTGTGGGTAGTTAGCTCCGGGGAGCCGAAGGGGCTTCCCCTAGAAAACCAGCGTTGAATGTAATGAAACGCCATTTTCTGGGTGAGACTCTGAGGTTTCCCGGCATCACTCACTCCCTCCCTCCAGTCGGCAGTTTTTCTCGGGTTTTGACATTCAGCCTAAGAACTTAAGGGAGGATAGATGGCATGTGGGGTCTGGGACTCCCCCTTCCCCTCCCGGGGAGGGGGAAGCTGCACAGACAGCGTCGTGGCGACGTGTGACATGATCGTTTGCTCGATTCGTTTAGGGGAGTTCTATACATTTGTTCGGCTTTTGGTAGCAATATTTTCACCAGAATAGGGGTTTGTTTTGGGATGCTTACCTTTCTGGGTGCATGACCAGGTCGATGGCAGACATAGAATGCTTCCAACCACAAGGGGGTTTCTATAGGCCATTGCTCCCCTTACCTCTTCTGAGGGGGCCAGGTTCTGGCTCATGGTCCCCGGTAGGCCCACTGACCTCCATACACATGACTGATACACATGACTGATGACATTAGCATATCAGCCTAGTAAGCTCCGGGAAGCTACCGGGTTTCACCCAGAAAATGGCATTTCAATGCATTCAACGCTGGTTTTTCAAATTGATAAAATAAAAGGGCCATGATAAGCTTGTTGCTGGGACCTTATACTGTATGACTCAGTAAAGCCAAGATGTTCATTGCAGGCAGTGTAGAACCCTTGACAATACACAACCACAAACAACTACCACTGCAACTCGAACAATTACAATAAACAAATATAACCACAAATATCATTACAGTACTATAAACATAAATTTAACCTTATCACTCACAATAACATAATCACAATTATACAGACACAATGATCATCTTAATTGACTGGCTGTGCGAAGTGGTAGTGGTTGATGCTGTAAAAATCAGTCTAGGGCTGTGATAAAGACCTCTGTCTAATGCCTAGGAAAACATTTTCAGATCATGGAATTTTCAACTAAGTCCTGTAACATTAAAAACAGGCAATTGAGTAAATGCTACAGAAACAGTAAAACGGAACAAATTGTTCTGTTGCCAACGATTTTTACTGTTTTGTTGGTGGACAGTAACAGAAAAATCTGCTATTATGATTTGAAGGACCGCACTTATATGTGTCGCCTTCCTTTGGTGACTAGCATCTTCACAGCGGAGCTTTATGCTATTCTCTATGCTCTCCGTCTCCTGCCTTCTCGTTGTCAATCCTCCTTTGTGATTGTCGTTGACTCTCGTAATGCCCTCATGGCTCTCGGGTACTTTAATCCTGTCCATCCCGTTGTCGTCGAGATTCAACATTGGCTGTTTCTTATCTCTAGTAAATTTAAATCCGGGGAGTTTTGCTGGGTTCCCAGCCATATTGGTGTTTCTTTAAATGAGCATGCAGATGCTGTCACCAGAGAGGCTATCCACTCTTGGCCCATTTCCTGTAAAGGTATTCCTTTTTCCGACTTTTATCCTGTTATTCATTCCTCCATCCTTGCCCGTTGGCAGGGTTGTTGGTCTTCTGGTGTTGGTAACAATCTGCGTACTCTTGAGCGTTGTGTGTCCTCGTGGCCTTCCTCCTGCCACCGTAACCAGCGGTGGGAAACGGCTTTAGCGCGGTTGTGTCTTGGCCATACTCGCTTAACTTACGGTCACTTAATAGAGCGCCACTCAGCTCCTTATTGTCCAAATTGCGTTGTCCCTCTTACCGTCGTGCATATCCTTGTTGAATGTCCTGACTTCCAGGACAAGCGAGTGTCTTGCTTTCGGACCGCCCCTCGCGGTCACTTGTCCCTTAATAGAATTCTTGGTGAATCGGATACTTTTGATAACGTTCACCTGATGCGTTTCTGTATTTGTATTGGCATCCTTGGTGATGTTTAGCGCCCTCTGATTATTCCGCACATTTGATGGTGCTACATAGCCTTCCCGGTTTGGTACCTTCTTTTTGATAATTACTTACTTATCACAAATAGGTGATAAGCAAACATAAACATACACAGCAGATCTCGCCACATGTAATTACCACTTGGGTAATTACATGTGGTGATATCTGCAGTTTCAAGTTTATTTTTTATGTTAATACTATGGTTTACAAAGTATATTATAATAATGTAAGATAAATGTTGGCCTGAAGTTTCAAGATTTATTGTCATTAGAAAATGTAGCTATTCTTGTGGTTAATACCACATTTCATGACAAGTGTCTAGTGCACCAGGAATGTGTCATACAGTACCAGTACTAGATGCTCAATCTGGGATTTTTATACTTTGATGTTTTGCAACACTTCAAGAGATGTGTGGAAACAAAAACTTATTGGTCTGGGAAATATTGCACACCAAACCCTCGTTGCAAAATATTCCATGGCTCAATGGCCATATTTTCCTGTTTTCTTTGCAGCACTGGAAAGAGATCATGTAAAAGCTTTTCAGAGACTGAATCACAGGACATACGGCATGTGTTCAGATAAGGCACTTCACTCTTAGAACTCATTATTTTTAGTATACTTAATCTTGGAAATTGTAAATTGTCTTCGTATATGAATGTATGTGCATTATTTCCAGGTTAACTTATTAATATTTGAAGCATGAAACTGTTTGGCTTGTTAGCATCTTGTAATATTTAGAGAATACTAATAACTTCATATTTGTGAGCCTAAAATGTATATCTGATAGCTGTAATATAATACAGTCGATGGCTGTGAAGCTGGTTGTGAGAGAGAACTGCTTAGTGTACCTGTTGATTAGTAGCTGGTCTCTTTTGTTTGTGGGAAAGTCTTGTCCTTAGCTTGTAGCTCTAAATTTTATAACTTTTCTTTTATACAAGTATAGTAGGTGGATCCCCCTTTCCTGCTTGGAGATTGTCAATTATTTTTTTTAACTTCTTTGAGATTGGAAAAATAACACAAGCTAATGTGTAGTCTCCTGTGTTTTTCTTTATTTAGACTAGAGATGATGTCGTTTGGTGACAGGTCACAAGCAGCAGCCAGTGGACCAACAGGAATCCATCCAGCCCAGAAAGTTCCAATGGGCCTCAACACAATAGCAGGTTATGCTCAGGCACAAAATGTGGGAAGCATTGGTGGGGTAACCTCGACACACAGCAGTTCAAGATATTCCTCCAGCTCATCACAAGTGGCTCCTACAAGTATATCTACAGCTGTGGGCTATTCAACACTGACTAGTAATAGTCACAATTCCTCATATCCAATCAATCCAGACGTCAAATTAAAAAAGCTGCCATTCTATGATATCCTCGGGGAACTCCTGAAACCATCATCACTGGGTGAGTAAAGTATTTATAATTCATTTCACTGGTGTAAATAATATGAATATGTTAAGGTTTCATTGACTGAACATACTTTGATAGTGTAGATTCATGATACAGCCCAATTTAATATATCTAGAAAACAGGATATTGGATTTTATGTACAGGCCTACCTTCTAATTATGAGAGTTTAGAGAACCCTTATTTATCATTTTCTGTGGGGGACCCCCTTGAGGCTCCCAGAAGCTGTTATCACAGATCTAGTGCCATACTACGGAATTCTATTGGCCTACTGGGGACCATGAGACAGAACCTGGCCCCCTCAGAGAGGTGCAGGGAGCAGTGGCCTATTAACACTATTAATTATAATTGCCTATTAATCATAATTGCCACCACCAGGGAAGGTACCCAGAAAGTTAGGTGAAATAAAACAGACTATTGCATGGTTAAAACGAGTCCTCAGCCTCAAACTTGCCAAAAGACTTCCTCCAACAATTAAAACAAACCACCAAAACTTAATGAAACTAGTGTGAACTAGTTTGCTTCCCCCCCCAACACTGCCTGGAGGGAGGAGGGAGGCAGACGGCCCACATCACTTGTTAGTTATATTCTGATGGTTCCTCGCCACTGTTGTGTTGCTCTGACTCTGGTTTCTCAGTTTTCAAGTACTGTAGTTTGCTTTTGTGGCTGTTCTTATGCACGGTTGTGTAGTGTGAGCCAGAAATTCAAGAGTGTTTGGAGCCGCATGAATTCAGAGTTTAGACAGAAATCACAATAGCGGGATGCATCAAATGAACAAATCCATAAGGGCCGTGATGAGAACGTGAATGAACCCTCGTCACGGTTCTTGTGAATTTGTTGAACTCGGGGTTCTCTTTCCTGTGCGATCCTTGAATGCTGCCCTTGCACAGTCTGGGTTTTCTTGCCTGGGGGTGTTTAGTACACTGCCTTTAGAGGGTTTCCTTGCTTGGGACACTACTTTTAGAGGGTTTCCTTGCTTGGGGTTGCCTTTGCCCGTTCTGGTGAACCAGTGGTTTCTAATTGTGTGTCTTTCCTTGGGTTGGAAGTGTTTTTGCTCGTGGAGGCCAATGAGGTTCGCATGACTTAATCAGTGCACCATGGTAGGCCCTAGATACTTTCTTGGTGGTGCTATGTTCTCCCTAGTTGCTCATTCTCTGTGAGTGAGAGTGAGTGTGTGTGTACTCACCTATTTGTGTCTGCAGGATCGAGCATTGACTCTTGGATTCCGCCTTTCGAGCATCAGTTATTTACAGCAATGACTCCGGTCCTATTTCCCTATCATACCTAGTTTTAAAATTATGAATAGTATTTGCTTCCACAACCTGTTCCTTAAGTGCATTCTATTTTTCCACTACTCTCATGCTAAAAGAAAACTTCCTAACATCTCTATGATTGTTTGACACCATCTTGATACTTGCTTGATGGGGTTCTGGGAGTTCTTCTACTCCCAAGCCCGGCCCGAGGCCAAGCTCGACTTGTGAGAGTTTGATCCACCAGGCTGTTGCTTGGAACGGCCCACAGGCCCACATACCCACCACAGCCCGGCTGATGCAGAACTTCTCTTCGAAAACAGTCTAGTTTTCTCTTGAAGATGTCCACGGTTTTCCGACAATATTTCTTATAGTCGTTGGGAGGACGTTGAACAACCGCGGACCTCTGATGTTTATACAGTATTCTCTGATTGTGCCTATGGCACCTCTGCTCTTCACTGGTCAATCTTGCATTTTCTTCCATATCGTTCACTCCAGTACGTTGTTATTTTACTATGTAGATTTGGGACCTGGCCCTCCAGTATTTTCCATGTGTATATTATTTGGTATCTCTCTCGTCTCCTTTCTAGAGAGTACATTTGGAGAGCTTTGAGATGATCCCAATAATTTAGGTGTTTTATCTCGTCTATGCATGCCGTATATGTTCTCTGTATTCCCTCTATTTCAGCAATCTCTCCTGCTCTGAAGGGGTGAGTGAGTACTGAGCAGTACTCGAGACGGGACAACACAAGTGACATGAAGAGTACAACCATTGTGATGGGATCCCTGGATTTGAAAGTTCTCGTAATCCATCCCATCATTTTTCTGGCTGATGCAATATTTGCTTGGTTATGCTCCCTAAACGTTAGATTGTCGGACATCATTATTCCCAAATCTTTGACATGCGGTTTTTCTACTATGGGAAGATTTGTTTGTATTTTGTACCCTGTATTATGTTTCAGTTCCTCATTTTTGCCGTACCTGAGTACCTGAAATTTATCACTGTTAAACTCGTCTAAGTTTCCAGCTTCCATCCATGTCCCCTCGTTCTGTTACTATTCCGTGTGAACATTTCATCTATGTCCACTCTGTCAATTCCCCCTGGGTATTTTATATGTTCCTATCATGTTCCCCCTTTCCCTTCTTTTTTCTAGTGTCGTAAAGCTAGCCCAAGACTCAAAAACCACTAAAATGCCAAAATAACTCGTAAAAAAAAGTAGCTTGGAGCTTATCTAACCTTTCTCGTTCTCGGCTGAATTTCTTCAATTTCGGTCATGTGGCATTATCTTCTTACATGGTTACATGTATTGTGAATGGCATCTCATGCCCAATGCTGTTATCGTGTGGCACTTGAGGAGCTGCTACCGTTAGCTTTTAACATTGATTTTTCTGCGGCTCTGGTCCTCGGGTTGTCTCAAGCTTTTTTTCAGCTCTGGCTCGCTCATGCTTCCTTGGGTTGATGGGCTGGTGAACTTCATGCTCTTCTTCGGAGGCAGTTCTGCTCGGTTCTGAAGAAAACGTCCTGGTTGGCATTTTCTTCATTTGCAACTACTGTATTTCCTCGTTTTCTGGCAAAGAAAGAGTTGGCAGGTTTCTGGAGGGGTAATTTGATTATTGATGCTTGGTTAGTTTGGGCAGAGGTGCATTATTTGTAGTCTGGGCAGGTGGCAATTTCTCACTACCTGCGTGTCACCGCCTCAACTTCAGTGGACTGATCCACTCCTTGGTCTCCTGTTCTAAGACTCATCTTTTTGAGGTTGTTCGCAGTGTCACCATGGCTAGCCATCCTGCAGAGTATCCTTGGATCCATGATGTTAACAAATATACTGTACTCACAGTGGTGTTCTCTAATATGTCTTGGGTGGATACTCAGCATTGGTTTTTGGCAGACTAACAGGGTCATGGACAGCCATGCATTTTATTCAGTGTTCCTGGACCTCTTCAGTCCTTTGTTGCCCTGGGTCGTATTTCCTAGCTGTTGGTCTGTACTTTGACTTAGTGCCTGCTGCCTCTGCTCCTCCAACCTGTCCTCTTAAAAATGACGTCACTTTTCGCTCGTATGCGAGCTATGGCCAAATTTGGACGTAATTTGAAATGAAATCGACTCACAAAAGTGACGCACTGTTCCGTTTTCTGTTTAAGTCGTCCGGCTTACTCGGCCAGCTTAGAAAAGGATTCTTTCCATTAACGTTTTTCATACCATTTTGAAACTTTATGAGAATTTCCTGCCCACCTAACCTATCAGAGGACCCTTAACTTACTGTTGTTGAAAAAAAAAATCCCAAATTGATATTAATTTTTTTTTCATTTTCAAATTACGTCCATATTCGGCCATTCGGGCAAACGGCCAAAAGCGACGTTCTTTTTAAGAGGACAGGTTGGCTCCTTAACTGGTAGTTCCTCTAATTTTTTCTCTTTGCTTATTTTGCAAGTGGGAGCCACCAAGCCCTCAGTAACCCAGCATTGAATGTAATAAAATGCCTCTTTCTGGTAGAGCCCCAGTGGCTTCCTATCTCCCTCCCCCCCCCCCCCCTTGTGTGTTTGTTGGTTAGTTGCTGTGTGCAGAATGCCACTTGCTCCCTGTACCTCATGTCAAGGGGTCAAATTTTGGCTCTGGTCCCTGGTAGAGCAAATGAACTTTTGCAACTGTTAGTGACTGGTATATTGGAGCAATTTCAGCGAGATAGTTACAGGGAGCCACTGGAGCTCTATCAGAAAAAGGTGTTTCATTATGTTCATTGCTGAGTTTCGTAGTTCTTATTCTTATTACACTACAGTGTGTGAACAGTTAATTAAAATTTGATAACTAAAAAGGATTGTGATAAAAACACAAAATGTTTTCCTTTATAGTACCATAATTTTTATTGGGCAGCTGGTGGACCTGCTGAATCTAGGCAGTGTCCTACAATATCTGTGTACTGTAATGTGTAATACATATAATTATAGAAATACTTTTGTAAATATTTATCCTAACCCATCATTTTTGGCCAGAAATGAGTACTTTCTTGTATTCTATCTTTGTTTAGGTTTGGTTTTCCAACCTCTCATTTATCATGTCCTTTGGTGGCAGAAATTTGCCACTTTAAAAGCATTATCTCAATGATGCTCTGTCATGTAATTATTTTTTTTAAATAATTAAAGAGTGTCAGAGTTCGTGTGTTTTGGTAGCTGACTTTTGTGCATACACTTACAAGAATCCCTGTTAGCGAGAGTGCTGTTTGGCGATCCCTGTAATGTCAAGTGGTACTTTGAATGGCTTTGAGTTTTTTTTTTTTTTTTTAAGTACTGTACCCATTATAGAGGGTATTTCAAGGTGAATTGAGTATTCTCCAGTGTTTCCCTATCACCAGCATGACCAACATGGATATTTGAAAAGATCTCTGCTGCCTTGGTACAGAATGTTGATCAACCCTGGTTGAACATGATGCTATCCATGGGACCTAATGGGAGCAACAGTGTCCTGCTTAGAAAGTAACTTTTCATGTACAGTACTTGTAACGGGTACCAGCCTCAACCTTCAATTCCTGGTTAATGCTGGCCGTTATTTAACGGTTCTGTTGTTCATCGTTTTCTTATCGTAACCTCTAGTCCGGTGAGGCCTTATAACCTTGGTGGTTGATCACCCAGGCACCACAAAACAAGGACACTGTACCTTTCAGCTATAAGCAAACTCACTAAAAAGACTTTATATGCTGCCACCACCTATCCTGAGATTTTCTGTAGTTACGCTAATTGACTGCGGGAAAGGACCAGTCAATTGCAAAATAAATCCCAAATGTGGATCCCCAATTATCAAAAGGCGGGGTGAAGTTACTTTAGCGTGTGGTTTAACTAATTTACCAGGGAGAATATATTGAATCGATCAGGCTGCTTACAGGAACACACATACTTAGAGCACAAAATACACAGGATTGTGAATTCAAGAATAAAGAAATATAAATAAAATTAGGGAATATTGACAAAACAATAGAAATCACTTCAATAATTATTTATTACACAAAATAGGAACAGAGCACTCCCTAACACTGAAATATCCCTATCTTAGGCAATGGTTATGAATTTAAGAATTACTGCACTGAACTTCAAAAAGTGACTATACCTTAAACATCTACAACCTCCCATGCACGATGTCCTGGCTTCCCTGGAGGAGTGTCCACCCTTCCTCGCTTATCGCCAAAACCACACTGACTAAAACTGCCCTCACAAACTGTGAGGCTGACCCTTGGCTGATTGCCATACATCATTAATAAGACTAATTATCAAGGCTTCATCATATGCACTTGTCACTTTAGGTGACTGGATTCCTATTCAAAATGATGGTAATTACATAGGTAATTGAACTAGATCTATTATTAAATACATTATTGAATAATAACATGAATTTCTCTAATATAAATAAATTAACAAACAAGATGGTAGATAGCAATTTACCACTGCGGAGACTGCCACCGAGCTGAGACCGTGTCATGCGTCTACCAGAAACTAGTTCCCATATTCTAAATGAATCATCTGTACTTGTCCCAGAATCCTTGTCATTTTAAAAGCCCTCACAAAGGAACTACATCTACATAGGTTGCCTTTCTTAGGTGACTGGAATGGTAATTACTAGGTACTAGATCTATTATTAAATACATTATTGAATAATAACATGAATTTCTCTAATATAAATAAATTAACAAACAAGATGGTAGATAGCAATTTACCACTGCGGAGACTGCCACCGAGCTGAGACCGTGTCATGCGTCTACCAGAAACTAGTTCCCATATTCTAAATGAATCATCTGTACTTGTCCCAGAATCCTTGTCATTTTAGAAGGAACTACTACATAGTTCCTTTCTTAGTGAATGGCTTGGTACAAGTCTCAGATATATACAATACTCTCAATATAACTAAGTAAACCCTTGGTGTAGACTTGGTGGTGGGGGGGGGGGGGGAGTTCACTAGCAACCTGACCTAAGGTTGGCATTGCCAGCTCTCCAAGTCAAGTCACTTTTTCTAACTGAGCTTATTAGCAAAATGGTGGAGCCCCACCTAAATTAATAAAAGCACTTTACTATCCCATTTTACATAACATACAAGGAGGTCTCATAACTTTCCTATGCAAGTGCAGTTCATAGACGTATTTTCCTGGGCCATCTAAAATTGATGAGGCATCCTTGTTCCACATCTGTGAAACAGATGGAACTCTAATCCCTGCGGTCAGACCTTTTGCAAGAATTGGGCCAGACATACACTCTGACTCCCAAAACTAGATTGTACCCCCTTATACATTATCATACAATCACTACAGGATATATAATCATCTTATAAACAGCTGAACTGTGTAATACTGTACACTCATAAGCTTTTTAATGGCTTCGTATGTAAATATGAAGCACATAATACTATTTAAATATTTATCTGGAAAAACATTATTTATTCAGTATTTATAATTACAGTACTGTACTGCATTTAACAAAACTTTAGTAGATTTTCTGAAGATGTATAATAGTATAAGTTTTTCTGGCTTTGCATGTGGTATATTGTTCATGTATTTTTCTATTCTTAGCCCCACAAGGTTCAGGACGCTATCAGGAGTCCACATTCGCATTTTCTCTCACGCCACATCAAGCCAACAAAATTGCAAACTCAAGAGATTTACGGCCAGGCAAGCAAGACTACTCTGTTCAGGTGAGAAGATAATTTTGCTCTATTTTTATTATCAATATTTCTTTTTCTTAAGTTTATAAATTTCCTCAATTTGATATTTATATATTTTTTGTTATAATAAATAATGATTTCTAATGGGATTAGTGCATTCTAAATGTTAGAATCTGTGAATCTGAAAAATCATTTTATATGTATAGTACAGTGATGTATTTGCAATTGGTCAATGAAACAGTTAACCATCTAGAAAAACTCAAATTATAGAAAACTATCAATTTTTTCCACTTATGGGCACTTTTACATAAATGCTCTGTACAGTGTACTAGGTAGTGAGATCAATATAATTTTTTTTTTCATTATATGAATTTTTCCACATGCCAGTGGCTATTGCCAATTATCAACTTACTTTAGTTAATGGTAATTCAAAAATGTTCAAAAACTTTGTAAGATATTTAACCCTTGCACTGTGACCCTGTTTATAGGTGACAACCCCATTTTCTTAAAACCCTTACAAGGTGTGTAAGAAAAATAAATTAAAATTTTTCTTTCCGATATTGTTAAAATGCATTCCCCTACCACGGTAAAAATAAAACAAATGTGACTTTGGCTGTGGTGATATCACGATTCATTAGCATTCATGGAGCAATTGCCACGGGGTGTGTGGAGAATCTAGAGGAACTAAATAATCTAATCTAGAGGTAATCTAGAGGAACTAAACTCTACTATAAAAATCAACTACAGAACAGGATAAAATACAAAATAAAATTGAAAGCCTCTTATCTGTAGTCTGAAGAGTAGACTGCCTCCTGTACTTGGATAATGTGATCGTAGTGTTAGGTAACTTGGTTCTCTTAAAGGATGCTATTTCCTCTAACACAGGGTTATTGATTGAAGAAAACTGCATGTACCTGTTGAGATTCACTCACATCAGTTGTCCTAAGTACAAAAGGCTTTAAGGATAAGGGTTAAAAACAGTACTAACAATGTTAAATTACTGGTTCATTGTACATAATCTAGCCTAGCTTTTATTGTAAATAATTATGGGGTTTTATTAATAAAATATAACAGTATTAAGTTATATCAGTTAAGCAAGATTTAAAATCTGATTAATAGATTATATTTAGGCAAATATATGCTAGTGATTAATAATTAATATTGATGATTATTGTTGAACTTATTCAAGATTAGATTAAAAATTATATTGATAGATTATTTATTACTGATAATGGATTAAGATAATTATTATTGTAGGTTCTTGCTTTTTATTTTGGGGCTTTTCCCACTTCTTAACGACCATTAGCTGTAAAAGGAATGATTAAGGCTACTGTGTAATATAATTGGCTAACTAAATTAACACTAATTGAGCTCTAAATACTAATCCAATTCAGTCTGAGACCAGAGCCTTGTCTGAACCGTTACCAGACAAATGATCACCCTTGGCATGAAAGACTCAGTATTTTATTGATTTAGATTTCACCTTTGATGGATTATAGATAACATGCAGTAGCATAGGCTGTGATTAAGATCTTCACGTGATAGTGGGCAGCTGAACACGTGCATGTGTGAGCTGCTTGCTTCTCATATATGGATAAAGATATTTATGATATTTTCTATATCAGATGTTATTTAACACCTTTCCTGTCTCAAGGCACTATCACTGAGATTATATTGTTTTTTGTGCAGTATTTGGTGTGTAAAAGTACCTGAACACCGTCACACGTTCACACAGCTTGAATGTAAACAAAATAATGAGGAGTGCTCGGGCGCTTAGCTCGTGTTGCAGCCCTACACTCTTGGGGATAACCAGCTCTTATTTAAAATAACTATGTATACGTCTAGACAGGCATATCGAGCCTGGCCTCAGGCCGGCTTGGGGTCAGGCCGGGCTTGGAGAGTAGAACTCCAGAAACACACTCCAGGTATAGATGATTATGTTGAGATAGATTATTAGCATTAATATAATGATTATTTAAGGAAGGATGATTAAGTATGATTTTGATATGACTAAATTCTTAGTTAAGAATGTGGAGTGATGTCATAAATGTTGATTGACCATATTCATATGACCTCATATTCTGTTGACCAAGCAGTTAGTTGTGGCATGATATGTCCACATGAGAGGTCTTTGTATCTAAATATAGACTCACACCACCTGAGGCCTCCTGCCTTTGTGACCTCTGGGCCGCAGGCAACAGATGTGTGATTGTAGGATGTATGATGCGGGTTGTTTTGACCCCAGAGTGGGGCAGAAGGTGCCACAAAGTTATTTTTAGATATTTATTTCAGTGTCTGATTTCTATTTCCCCTTTTTTCAGTAATATTACTCAATAGTGTGTCTTTTGAGAAATTTGTATAATAAAATGTGTGAAACATTGGAATCCTCATATATATATGTTATTAATATGTGCACAATATTATGTTCTCAGAACAATAAATCATACTGTCTTTGCAGTTATTACATTGTATATACACTTTGTTTATATTTATTTAACACTTTTGCTCGGCGACAACTCAGCATTGAGTCCTCCATTAAATAGAGGGAAGTCCGATAAGAACTCAGCATTGAGTCCTCGGCAGTAATTGGCGGGCGGCAAATTGGCGGCGGCTTCGGGAGGGGCGCACTGCGGTTTGCGAATACATTGATACCAAAATAAAAGACCTAGAACCAGAATTGAGGTAACAAAGTTGAAAAGAGTATACCCATTTTATTGCTCTTTATTAGCGCTCATGGGGGTAATGCTCCGTCACTTTCTCTGTTGTGGGTGGTACGCCGTGCTTTTGGACTTTATATTTGCATATACTCCTGTAGGGAATTCTATTGCGAACACAATTCGATCTGGAAGATCCTGTGTATCGAATTTACTCAGTTTCTATGATCGAGCCACAGAGATATTACAGGAAAGAGATGGTTGGGTTGACTGCATCTATCTGGACCTAAAAAAGGCTTTCGACAGAGTTCCACATAAGAGGTTGTTCTGGAAACTGGAAAATATTGGAGGGGTGACAGGTAAGCTTCTATCATGGATGGAAAATTTTCTGACTGATAGAAAAATGAGGGCAGTAATCAGAGGCAATGTATCAGAATGGAGAAATGTCACAAGTGGAGTACCACAGGGTTCAGTTCTTGCACCAGTGATGTTTATTGTGTACATAAATGATCTACCAGTTGGTATACAGAATTATATGAACATGTTTGCTGATGATGCTAAGATAATAGGAAGGATAAGAAATTTAGATGACTGTCATGCCCTTCAAGAAGACCTGGACAAAATAAGTATATGGAGCACCACTTGGCAAATGGAATTTAATGTTAATAAATGTCATGTTATGGAATGTGGAATAGGAGAACATAGACCCCACACAACCTATATATTATGTGAGAAATCTTTAAAGAATTCTGATAAAGAAAGAGATCTAGGAGTGGTTCTAGATAGAAAACTATCACCTGAGGACCACATAAAGAATATTGTGCAAGGAGCCTATGCTATGCTTTCTAACTTCAGAATTGCATTTAAATACATGGATGGCGATATACTAAAGAAATTGTTCATGACTTTTGTTAGGCCAAAGCTAGAATATGCAGCTGTTGTGTGGTGCCCATATCTTAAGAAGCACATCAACAAACTGGAAAAGGTGCAAAGACATGCTACTAAGTGGCTCCCAGAACTGAAGGGCAAGAGCTACGAGGAGAGGTTAGAAGCATTAAATATGCCAAAACTAGAAGACAGAAGAAAAAGAGGTGATATGATCACTACATACAAAATAGTTACAGGAATTGATAAAATCGACAGGGAAGACTTCCTGAGACCTGGAATTTCAAGAACAAGAGGTCATAGATTTAAACTAGCTAAACACAGATGCCGAAGAAATATAAGAAAATTCACCTTCGCAAATAGAGTGGTAGATGGTTGGAACAAGTTAAGTGAGAAGGTGGTGGAGGCCAAGACCGTCAGTAGTTTCAAAGCGTTATATGACAAAGAGTGCTGGGAAGACGGGACACCACGAGCGTAGCTCTCATCCTGTAACTACACTTAGGTAATTACACTTAGGTAATTACAATGGTACCAAAATGAAAAACCTAGGACGAGAATTGAGATGACAAAGTTAAAAAGAGTATACACTTTTCAGAATTACCGCATTCTCTAATGTAATGAGAGGCACCTTGTGGTGGCGCAGCACTCTCTGGTAACCGCGGCCTGCTTTCATCACGTCGGCGGGTGGAGCGGGCTGCTATTTTTGACATTATATGCATATACTCCTGTTGAGAATTTCTTTGATATCAAAATGAAAGACCTAGGATGAGAATTAAGGTGACAAAACTGAAAAGAGCGTAAACATTTTATCGCTCTTGCGTGCTCCCAGGTAACTTTCTCTCACTTTCTCTGTTTGTTGCGGATGGTACGCGAAGTTTTTGGGCTTTATATGCCTTTAGTCCTGTAGAGAATTCTATTGCAAACACAATGATACCAAATTGAAAAACCTAGGACGAGAATTGAGGTAACAAAGTTGAAAAGAGTATACACTTTTCAGAATTATCGTGCCCTCCCGCAGAATACCCAAACCCACCCGGGGTAGTGAAGTGCTCGCGCGCCCAGAGCATCAAAGTGTTAACTACTGTGTCTACATTTTTATGCCGCATTACAAACTACGAAGTAGTTCTGGTGGGTGTGGTAATGAAATCCATGAACAGCATAGTGCCACACACTACCATCTTATAACTCTACATGACTTGGCAAAATGACTCCCAATGTACTGTGCACATTGCTAACTCTAGCCACAACAATACTCTTATCAGAATCTTGGTCACTAAATTATGAATATTAATAATTTTCCTCAAGTTTATTTTCTAAAGGAACATGAGGCCCTGCTTTATGATGCATCGATGCATGAAACTGTGGCAGTGTGCTGTGGATATCTGCCTTACACTCAGAACATCATAGCCAGCATTGTGTTCATTGATATCTGAACTGTGTACAAAGTCTGTATCACAATCATGATCTTCTATGACACCATCACAAAATAATTTCAGTTATTTATTTAATTATTATTAAGCTATGCTGTAGGCACAAGCTGCATGGCAGTGCTGTGAGCTGCTGCAGCAAGCATTACCCCTGGTCACCCTCTCAATACTAAGGCCTTCATACCCAGGAGAGGTGCCCACGATCTTTTCCAAGATGGCATATGTTTACTGGATGCCTGAAGAAGCAAATGTGAGCCCCTGTGTATGACTGGGACTTTTAAATCTTATGAGGGTATTTTAAATCATCGTCACATTGATTTGCGCAGTAGGGTCAGAAATGGTGCGATAGTCCCCGATTTACATGCACATTGTAAGGGTTAATATCACAGTTGCTTCATCTTTATTAAAGTTTTTTTCCCTTGTTTATTGTATCATGCAGGGAAAGTGTTTTGTTTCTGATTATTTCACTACTTATTGCCAAAATTATCACCACCATAATCACAGCTGTCACCATAACCACATCTATCACCATAATCACAACTATCTCCATAACCACATAGGTCTACATAATCATAACTATTACCATAATCACAGCTATCACCATGCCTTATGGTTACCTTGTAACAGTTCCTAGGTTCAACATCCCTGTGGCCTGGTCTCTACCAGGCCTTTTAGTTGGTGGTCTGATCAACCAGACTCTTGAATGTGGCTGCATGCAGCCTGATATACAAATTACAGCCTGGTTGATCAGGTATCTGTTGGATGTGTTTGTGAGTTCTGTTTTGAAGACTATGTGAGGTCGGCCAGTTACGCCCCTTATGTGTTGCGGGAACTGTACTGAAAAGTCTTGGGCCCTTGATGTTGATTAGAGTTCTCTCTCAGCATGCCTATTGCATCTCTGTTTTTCAATGGAACTTATTTGCACATCCTGCCATGCCTCCTGGTTTCATGATGTTATTTCCATGTGCAGATTTGAAACCAGTGCCTCATAATATTTTCCAAGTATAGATTATTATGTATCTCTTGCCTGCACTGTAGAGAAAATAGAGTTAAAGATTTTAATCGATCCCAATAATTTAGAAGTTTTATTGAGTGGATTATAGCAGTAAAGGATCATTGCAGATTCTCCAGATCAGCAATTTCTCCAGTTCTGAATGGGGCTGTTATTGTACAACAATATTCCACCCTTGAGATTGCTAGTGTCTTGAAGAGTATCATCCATTGGTATGGTATCTCTTGTTTGAAAGGTTCTTGTTATCCAATCTCATTTTTCTTCATCGTTTCGGTCCAGGACGGACCGAAACGTCGTCGTCCCTTCAACTTCTAGTGTGTGGTCTGGTCAACATACTTCAGCCACGTTATTGTGACTCATCGCCTGCATAGCTATGCATGTTACACCAGCCCCTACACATTACACTCATGAGCTCAATATTCCTCCCACTGTTTACACTGTATTATTTCACCTGGTATCTTTACACCACCCTGTTCATTGCTGAGTAATGCCTCTAATACCTTTCTTAATTGCCTGTGTATGATTAAAACTTCTAATTAATATTAGAAGTTTAACAGAATTTAAAGTCTTTAAGAAGTCTTTAAAAACTTTTACAACATGTTTTAAAAGAAGAAATAGAATCTAATCAAGCACTGCAATATTTAATGCTTTTTATTTTGTCATAATAATTATTAAAAAGTCAATAGTGAAATTTCTACTTATGGATTACATGTACAATTATTAATTCATCTACTGAACTTGCAAATGTCTGAAATATAAATTATTAAATTATTGTATATAAATTTTTTTTTTTTTTTCTAGGTTCAAATGAGGTTTTGCTTACTTGAGACAACATGTGAACAAGAAGATAACTTTCCACCAAATATTGCAGTTAAAATAAACGAAAAGATGTGTCCATTACCTGTAAGTATGTTACCTTTGTATTAAAAAAAAATACATGTATTGAGAACCTTGATTTGGGATTTATAGAAGGAATGCATGGTTAAGTAGGTCAAGAAAGTTGGTGGAGCTGCACAAACTGGTAGAGGAATGAGAAGTGCTTCAGACAAGCCAAGCTCGGTTGAATTCTATGCTTTGGGACTACCAGCCACATGACCATCTGTAGAGCAGACAGAGCTTCACGTCTCAACACAGGTGTGTCCACACCAAGCATGAATGCTGGCATGGGTAGATGGCCCACACCTTGTAATTCATTACCCCAAGACCTTTACATAGACCACCAATCAGAATACAGTTACTACCTTAACCTATGACATGATTGGCTCAACCATAGGTCCCTCTGACATCATCGAGAGTATCCTGAGTGTAGCTAGCTCTACAGTTGGAAGTGAGGTCACCTGCTGACCTGACTGCAGCCTCCTTGTCACTGCCACCACAGTTTGTAGCACACAAGATAGTGACAATTCACTGACATTGTTACAATGAGATGTGTAGTCTCTTTATCATCTTGTATAACCAAACGTCATATGACTTTACTCATTCACCATCTGAATTGCAAATAAAAATACCTATCCAGGGATACCCAACAAGAGGGTGCTCCAATCTGGTATAAGGCAAATTATATTTCACAATGTACAGTGTTACATATTCATCTGCAGCCATAGGTGTGATAAAGCTGAGTGACAACCATTCTCCTGCAATTGGTTTCTGCGTCTGTAATCCCATCTATGTTTGTGTACATTTATTTTAACTCTTGGGCTGTGCCCCAGTTTATGATAACACTGCAAGGGGAAAAAAAAAACTATCCGGTATTGTTATAATGCATCTTCATCCCCCCCCCCCCAGAAAACCGGCATTGAATGTAATGAAATAGCTCTTTTTGGATAATCCCCAATGGCTCCCGGATTCCCTCCCTCCCTTCTACTGGATGGTAGATCAATGGTCTCATTTTATGCAGGTTGGCATTCCATCCCCAATTGAATCATTATATATAACGTATATATATATACGTTGCATATAAGGTATATATACGTTTTACGTTATTCTTAAAATAGACGAATATCTGGCAAAACTGGACCTCATCCTCTCCGACCAAACTAAATTCCAAAGTGTAATGAGGGACTCTGCAGCTAAATTGAAAACGAAGGTAAACAGATTGATTGAAAAGGTGAACACCAAGAAATCCGGACTCCACCTGCCGAAGGTTATCAGGGAATACAAACCTGGTTATGCATATGGGAATGTCAAGACCCACAAGCATGGAAACCCACTTCGGCCAATCAGCCAGATACCCACACCCACATACAGACTGGGTAAGTGACTCAAGTGCCTGCTGACTCCTTATGTGCGTTGTGCTTTTAGTCTGAAGTCTCCAACGGAATTTGTTGACTTACTGCGGGGAGCACTGGCCACAGAGATAAAGGCCTCTCTGGATGTGGAGTCGCCTTTCACCAGCGTGCCTGTTGACGAAACAATCAGGATGATGATGGACAGAGTGTATCGTGATCCGGCTTGCACCCCTCTAGACATACCAGAGAGCATACTGAGGAAGTTACTCGAAGCCTGCACTAAAGAGGCACTCTTCTTGAGTCCCAATAGGCACATGTGAGCCTAATAGATGGGGTCGCCATAGGTTCTCCCCTAGGTGTCCTGTTTGCAAAATTCAAGCAAAATTCGATGTTAAGTTTCACTTACGAGATGGAGAGTGATGGGAAGCTGCCCTTTCTAGATGTAACAGTCACAGAAAGGAATGGTGGCTTCCACACTGCAGTCTACACTAAGGAAATTAACATAGGAATGTGCCTTAATGCCAATAGTGACTGCCCAGACAGGTACAAGAGTTGTTGTCAACGCTTACATCGACCGGGCTTTCACTCATCACTCTGGTTGGAAGCAGGTCGATGAAGAACTCTACAGGGTAAGACAGGTCCTAGTCAAGAATGGCTTCTCTAACAGTTATGTTGAAGACGTCAATAAAAGAAAGGTAAAACGTCATGCAACCTCTGAAGAGTTAACTAACACAACACTTGTACACCCTATTAGACTGTTTTACAAGAACTTCTATTCGACGGCTCATAAAACGGAGGAAAGTGTCCTGAAAGATATTATTAATTGGAATGTTATCCCCATAGACAAAAATCAGAAGATATACTGTAATTGACAATTTAATACAAAAACAAGAAAACGGCCAACCTACTCATGAAAAACTCTCCACACACCAAACAGAACACCTTGAAAGAAACCAACGTTGTTTATGCCTTCACATGCCCACTTGGGGACTGTCTGCCCCAAAGATCTCAGTACAGTATATAGGCAAGACAACAACATCTCTTTCTAGGTGATTAACAATGCACAAACAACACGGCTCCATCAAGGAACATATAATCTCCTTGCACAACCAGACCATCACCAGAGAAATCTTAACAAGCAACGCAGAAATTATCGATAGATACTGCGACAGCAGGAGACTCGACATCGGCTAGGCCCTACACATCAAAAAGTTAACAACAGCAATCAACAGCCAATTAACACATGATTACATGCTACCCACTTCAAGACCCCGAACCAATACAGAAACAAGAAGAGAAAATACGCAATGCACCCATTGATTTGTGTTCTGTCACCTCGCCCAAAAACGAATATAAGCATGAAACGAAGTAAAAATTTGTCTTTGAAATGTAAAAAGTCTCTTGTGAAGTGCTCTAGGCGTTAGACCATAAATAAAATGTGAAAATGAACTTTGGAGTTAATTTTTCAATTACCCTCGACAGTGAAGAAATATGTAAAAATCATTAATCTTACCTTTTCGGCCATATTCTACAACATATGTTTAGAAGAAAGACTGCTGCCAAAATATACTATATATATAATATATATAATTTTTTGTAAATATAAAGTGTTCATGGGTGATTGCTTCTTGTCCCTCTCTTAATGGACCAGGGTCTGGTTCATGGTTCCCCGTAGGCAACACCAACTCTACAACTGATGACCTTAAATGGTACAGCACTATATCACCAAAAATAGCTTCAGGGAGCCTCCGGGGATCGCTCAGAAAATGATGTTTCATTACATTCAATGCTGTTTTTTTTGCCATGATATCACAAGTTTTCATTTATAATAGATGAGTTTTGCTTACTGTATCATTTACAGATTTATTTTTACAATTCAGTATGTATTTGTTTGTGGTGCCTGTAGATCTGTTTTGATGTTTGGGAACGTCTTCCTACCTAAAGCTGGAGATGAACTGTAATCTGTTCATTCATTTGGTTAAATGAACAATTGAACACCCATGCATTTGATTACACTATTTTATATTTTTATCTAACCTATTCATGTTACAAATAAGGTTAGTAAGATGTGTCATGCCATAAATTAATTTAATTTTAATTACTCTTCACAAGACACCCATCCCCACCAACAAGCCCGGAGTTGAACCAAAGCGACCATCTCGACCGGTCAATGTAACAGCACTCTGTCGTATATCCCCCACTGTAACAAATAGAATACAGGTAAGCCAGATATTGTTGGAATTAATAGCTATACAAAGTACTTGTGTGGTTTTGGGATTTGTTATATAAGGTTATGATGCAGCTTAGTTTTAATTGCGAGCTAAAAATATATGTAGTTAATATAATTATTATTCAGTATTTTTATTGTTTTATAAATAAGTATCCTTGATAATGATACCTTATGGTTTCATCATATTTGTTTTATCTTCTTCCAAGAAGTTTCTGTTCAGTATTTCAACTGCCTCAAGATACTGACCTGAAACTTAACACTTTCGTGCACCCCGCGCGCCACCCCTCAACTGTGCAATATGGGACCCAGGGTGTCACGGGAGCGCGCGTTAATTCTGAAAAGTGTATACTCTCTTCAACTTTGTCACCTTAATTCTCGTCCTACGAGATTAAATTTTGTATCATTGTGTTCGCAATAGAATTCTCTACAGCACTAAGTGCATATAAACTCCAAAAGCCCGGCTAATTACCCGCAGCAAACAGAGAAAGTGCGAACGAGTTACCTAGGAGCGCGCAAACGCGATAAAATGTTTTCACTATTTTCACTCTGGTCACCTCAATTTTTGTCCTAGGTCTTTCATTTTGGTCTCAATGGGTTCGCAATAGAATTCTCTAGAGGAACATTAGCATATAAAATAAAAAACCTGGTCACGCTCCAACCGCCGACGAGTTGAAGACAGGCCACGCGTTAGCCGCGAGTGAGCACTCAGACGCCTTCGAGCTACACTCCCAATTCCCGCCCTTTTCAGGCCTTTCTTTCGCAATTTTCTTCCTGGAAGGGCCTTGTTCATGATCACTATCCATCATGGAGTAAGCGTAGATAGTTTCTCAAGCCGCATTAAGAAATATAGCCACGGAAAATAGCCGAAATGTTCACACGTTTGAGACGCAAGGGGAGGCTACATTGGTCACAACAGTGGAGCGAAAACAATGGGCCCACGGCGTGTGCCAAGCCGCCTGAGGGCCACGAGGCTCAACAAAGAAAATGTGAAGACATCGGCGCGCATTTTAAAACCAGTCCCAAAAAAATCGGATAAAAACCTGATTTTTGGCGATTATTTAAAGTGGATGACGCAATGCTGCGTCATGCCCGGGCGAAAGTGTTAAAATACTTAAGTTTGAAAAATGCATGGCTGCTATATAGTGCTATCTATAATAACAAAATAATTTGTGCAATCTTTTAAGAAACCCTTATTCTATTTATCCCTTAAAGTGTGGGTATCATCATACATTGACTCATGGTGTAATGTGACTATTATCATGTGTGGATTTTAATTATTTTTGCCTGGTTTGTATACCTGTGATGGATATGTTAGCTGTATATGGATGCAGTGAAGTTTACCTTGAACAATGTTTACCTTGAGAAAAACTCCTATTCATTCATGATTCTGTACTATACCAATGTGGTAATTGTAATGGTATAAAATACTATAATAACTACGCGATATGTATACTGATTATGTTTATATCGTTTTCACAACTATCAATGGTTGTATTGAAGTAAATTGCTAAATGTACTGGAGAAATTGCTGACCTAGAGAGCGTGCAGAGATCCTTTACTGCTAGAATCCACTCAGTAAAACATCTAAATTACTGGGACCGACTAAAGAGCCTAAATCTGTACTCCCTTGAGCGCAGGCGGGAGAGATACATAATAATTTACACGTGGAAAATAATTGAGGGGCTGGTCCCAAACCTGCACACAGAAATAACACCACATGAGACCAGAAGACATGGCAGGATGTGCAGAATACCCCCGTTGAAAAGCAGAGGTGCAACAGGTACTCTGAGAGAGAACTCTATCAACATCAGAGGCCCGAGACTGTTCAACACGCTTCCACTACACATAAGGGGCATAACTGGCAAACCCCTCACAGTGTTCAAGAGAGAACTGGATAAGCACCTCCAAAGGATACCTGATCAACCAGGCTGTGACTCATACGTCAGGCTGCGAGCAGCCGCGTCTAACAGCCTGGTTGATCAGTCCAGCAACCAGGAGGCCTGGTCGACGACCGGGCCGCGGGGACACTAAGCCCCGGAAGCACCTCAAGGTAGCCTCAAGGTAAGTATACCAGGTTAACCAATCATCATTGGAACATCATAATAAAGGCACTGCAGAAATCCTATTGGCTCATATAAGGTAACTACTATTTATATCCATCCAAAATCATTCATATATGGGCCTATTAATATTGAATCTGATGCCCATATGGGCAGCTCGTATTTACTATTGGGAGAGTTGTAGAATTCACATTGACTTGAAATATGCAAGTGTTATGCACAAATGGAGTGGATTCGTTGCCAGGTATGCACTCACTTGTAAGGTCTTCAAAACTACTATGCATGTAGCCAGGACTATTGGCTACATGCATTGGCCACAGTGGCCATCATAGGTCATTGTTGAGAGATTCTACAAGAACCAGAAGTTTAGCTGTATGAATACACATGTATTCTGCTGTGGAGTTGCCACAGCCCGACCAACCGGGCTGTGGTGGGTATGTGGGCCTGCGGGCCGCTCCAAGCAACAGCCTGGTGGACCAAACTCTCACAAGTCGAGCCTGGCCTCGGGCCGGGCTTGGGGAGTAGAAGAACTCCCAGAACCCCATCAACCAGGTATCAACCAGGAGTAAAGAGCAGTTTTGGTGTAGCAAGGAGAGGCCTGACTGAGGTATGGTCACTAATCTCTCTGGGGATGTGCCCAAGGCTACCAGCCAAGTCAAGTCACATGCATAAAGTCTTTTCTATCTGGATTTAAATAAGGCTTTCAAAGGGACTTTTGAAATGAAAGCTTCCATTTCATTTATAAATTCAGCTCTTCTGGCTTTACTGAAAAACCTTATAGAATAAAGTCAACCTTCATCACTCCAGCTGCTTCATTCTTCTTGCCTTCCTCTACTGCCTTGGCTACTTATAAATTTTCTCTCCCATGATGATTTGCTCTCATTTTCCCTCGCCTCCAGGTCTCTTGTTTGTCTCCATAATAATACTGTTTGTTTTCATGTAATTTCTACATATTTTATGTGTGCCCTTTCTTGTTACAATAGTTGCACACACAATCCTTAAATATGCAATTTATACTACTGTGTTTGTAGGTACAATTTTTCATGTGATGTTCCCCACTGTACGACCATAATCTGTACGGTTGTCTGGCTTCCCCACACACAAGCTCTTGCCAGATTAAAAACTATTCATGATATAAATCTAAATTTTCAGCAACCAAATTGAGGAAATATTGTTCATGTACTGCTATGAGCAGTTAATCCCTCATCCTGTAGTCAAATTGGGCTTCATAATTGCATTTGTTAGCCAGCTCTTTAAATCTATAAATAACACTTGAAACGTTCCCTCTTGCTCTTTTATCCTCTTCTGGAAATACATAAAATATCTGTGATATGAAGGGTTCACCATATAATGATTTAGTAAACTAATGAAGTCCTTACAGTCCTTTGGGTGTGGCAAATCTGGTGCGCACATATCTCCCAGGACACTATAGACCAGTGTTCAACCTTTCTGTGAGGAGCCTCGTCGGCTCCTTGGAGCTATCGGACTAATATTAGCTATATTAGTCTGGGGCTTCAGTCATGTGGAGTTCTTATTCCTACCAGGAACCACAAGCCAGAACCTGGTTCCCTCAGAGAGGCGAAGGGAGCAATGGTCTATGAAAACTCCACTCTTTGCGAAAATTTTCATGCTGCCATCGACCTGGGCTCGGCATCCAGAAACGTAGGCATCTCAAAACAAACCCTATCTGGTAGAAAATTGCAACCCAAGACCAAGAACTCCCCCAAGGAAAACAAGGTTACAAGCAAATCATCATCAACCCGACGCGCTGCTCATTCACGCTGGCCGCTAGACCGCCTGTTCATCGACTGAAGCCAGCTGGGGCTGATGTCTACTCTGGTCTCGATTTCCTGTCAGGATTTTACCTCCGTGGTTGTGCCTGCTGTGTGTTGGCCAGGAGTATCATTACTGTACTTCGGGCTGCATGCGCTTAGGGTTGTCTTTACTGGGGCTTTCAGGTTCTCAACCCCAAAGAGGTTGCTGTTGCTTGGCATCAGGCCTTGCCCTTAGGGTCAGCGGGGTCTTGGTGGTTTCATTTGGCTCCTAGGTAGGGAGTGTTTGTAGCTGGTTGGGGCGAACGGTGCTGCACATCTCTCATACAAGTAGCGGCCGTGTCTCTCTTTGGCCTCCTGTTGCAGTGGTGCAATTTCAGTGTTTCTTTTAATTCTTTTTTAGTTCTTTCCTGCCTGGTGGATGGCTGCCTGGCTTCCCATTAGGTATGCCTAGGCTCCATTTGGTAGTCCTCCACTCAGCCCTCGAGGTTGCTCCCTTCACAGGGATCAATTTGCCCAGTAAATATCCGGGCAAATATCCAAGGGCGACACATCCTTCTGGGGGGAGGGGGGCATATATCCTTCCCTTTACAAGTTTGATATGGGTTCGCCTTACCCCCTTCCGTTCCCCCGGGTTCATTTCGGGGTTCCTTTGGGTTCCACAGCTTCCAGTTTCTGGAGGATTTCTTAGATTCCCCTGCAGAGGTTCAGGAGACCATTGGTGCGGCATACCTCCTGCAAGATCCGGACTTTGTCTTTGTGATGGACCCAGTCTCTCTTAAATTTGGTTCCTTTTTCCCATATTAGGTGCATTATGAGGCTCTTGTGTTCTGGCTTGCAGACTGCCCTTTCTTTTCGCTTGGGGAGTGGCAAGGGTTCTGTTGTACCTGCACGCTGGATTGGCAGGAGCTTACTTCGGTATTGCAAGTTTACCAGGGGGTCGCTTTTGAGCACCCCAGTGATTGTCTTTATGCCCCTGTGCTTCTTTGTGAGGTTGGCTTACTCCAGTTGCATGCCGAGGTCCCTTCCCTTTCAGCTGCTCTAATTGTGGCAGATCTTCGTGCTTTTCCCTTCTCAAGCTGTCCTCGGACTGTGTTGTGGAGGCTGTGGAGGTACTGAATGCCGGGCCGTCATCTGGGGTGTTGGGCTCGGCTGCTA